TGTACCAGATATGGATAATCTTCTACTGAGAGCAATATTTATCCATAACGGAGTACTGAATGGATAAGCTTATTATATCCGGTATGGATAATCTTCTACCGGGGTAATGTTTATCCATAACTTGGTACTGAAAAGATAAGCCTATTATACCCGGTATGGATAAACTTCTACTGGGGGTAATGTTTATCCATAACCGGGTACCGAAGTGATAAGCTTCTTCAGGAAGCTTATTTCCAATATAGTACTAAATAGATAAACATATTTACGGTGGAGTCCCATATGAATAAGCTTCTTCAGGAAGCTTATTTACAACGGAATACTAAATGAACATCCATAATATAATATATTTATAACAGAAAAATATTATGATATTTTTAGTGGAGAGAGAACTTCAAGTAACATCACAGAAACTTTTATTTTACAATCATTTTCTCAATTGCAAATATCTAAAAATTGACGAATATTACACTCTTTCTCTGTTCCACAACTACCTTTATTTTTTTGTTGAGAGAGGAATAGAGAGAGAGAACTAGATAGCGAAGATGTACGGATTCACGAGCTTGAGCACAGAAAATGATGTGGGAATCAAAGGTGATATAGAGGAAGGAACCCTATATCCAGGTCTTGGATATGGCGAAAATCAGTTGCGTTGGGGTTTTATTCGTAAAGTCTACGGTATTCTCGCCGCTCAGATTCTCCTCACCACCGTCGTCTCCGCCGTTACTGTTCTTTACGCGCCTATTAACGATCTCCTCCGTGGCAATTCTGGCCTTCTTCTAGTCCTCATTTTCCTTCCTTTTGTCCGTAAGTAACCCTAGATCTGTTCATTTTTCGGTTAAATTTATCTCTTTTATTCATGGTTTGTTTCTATTAGGTGCGATCGGTGATTCTTTTTCTAAATCGTTGGCCTTTTAAAATACTCTCGAGGCTATAATGATCTAAAATTTGGTGATTGCTTGTGTACTTTGTATTGTGGATAATTCATCGCTGTAGTACTTTGATTAGAGCGTATTTTACGATCTATAAGTCTAGGTAAATTCTGTCTCCTTTTTTTTATGCTATGACTAGAGCGAATTTTGCGATCCATCGTTTCACCATAAATTATGTCTTTGATTGGGAAAATCATGTCATCTATTAGGTTGTTTTGTTCAAGTTCATGTTCTATGCGTCCATGTTGTATAGTAGTGTAGGTATTTTACCTATCAGGTTAAACTGGCCTAAAATCAGGTGCGGCTTAACGGATTTTGTGGCCTAAAGCCAAAATATATTAAAAGGCCCTTAAATTCCTTTTATAAAATCCATATAATAATGAGATACAAAGCAAACTCCTAGGACTTTGGCCTAGTGGTAAGTGTACAATGCGTGATGTGTGAATTAAGTGCATGTCACAGTAACTTTGCCATAAATGAAAATATGGCATTAAATGAGAGTGCGTGATGTGTGAATTAGGTGCACGTCACAGTTCGGAACTTTGTGATAAGTGAAAATATGGCATTAAATGAGAGAGAAATTTATCGTTATTTATCACTCAACCACATAACTTTAATTAAACCTTTTAAAATATTTTATTAATAATATTTACATAAGATATATGTAACAGAGTACTTAAAATTTGGGCCCTTAATATTTTGGAGGCCTAAGGTAATGGCTTCATTTGTCTTACCCTTAGACCGCCCCTGTCTAAAATAACATCTAACTCTTTGTAGCAAGATCAATATAGTAACCTAAAAAATAAAGTAGTAACTTGTTAGTTATAACCAATTAAATTACACCAATAGCATAAATTTTTACAAATCAATATATATGTCACTTTTGATATTTTAAATCCCTCCGATTTCTGAATTGTGGCTTTAAAGAATTCTCTTCACGGGTATGGGTGTCAAATGCAACATATCGGTGATTGTTTGTGTGCATTATATTTTGATCAAAAAGTTCATCACATTTCTTTATGCTTATATTAAGAGTTGCGATCTACCAGGTTCTTATTTGTATGTGTATAATTGGCATATAACTGTTGATATCTGTTTTCCAAATTGGTACCCTTAGTCACTTAGATTATTCTTCTTCCTTATGGTGTCCAGTCAATGATGCAACCTGAAGGTTTGAGATTTCTTCCTGTACTTTGTTTTGTGATTGCTGGCCAGTGTGAATTTCAATTTTGCAAGTAATTCCATTGCTGTTTTTATCTGCTCCAGTGTATCTGTTTGCACAGATAGTGCATTCATTTGTTTCTCCTTTCAGAACTGTCTTCGACTATATGTTGTTGCTAAATAGAGCTTAATTAGCTGAGAAAAGGGAGGAAACTTGAGGTTACAGTGGTTAGTTTGGTGTTAATAGTGTAGACAACCCTGTTTGGTTTCTTCGCATTTTGTACTTGATGTGCGATCTGATGCTTCTGGATCTCACTCATAACAAATTTTCCAAAAGTTTCAACCTGTCTGCACTTCGCTTCCCCTTTCTAGAGGCTAGACCAGTGATAGTTTGTATCTGTGCAGTGCTGTGGCCCTTGCATGTATATCAGCAAAAGCATCCGTTGAATTTTGTTTTCCTTGGCCTCTTCACTGCTTCTTTGAGTCTCACGGTTGGTGTAAGCTGCGCTAATACTGATGGTGAGTAGTTTCTCTACTTTATGAAGCTTCTATTTTTGGCATTTGTTTGGCCTTCTTCATACACATCTTGGATGATTTGCTCATACTCTGTGCGTTGAAATTANTTTCTCTACTTTATGAAGCTTTCTTTTTTGGCATTTGTTTGGCCTTCTTCATACACATCTTGGATGATTTGCTCATACTCTGCTCTGAAATTACAGGAAAAATTGTCCTTGAAGCTTTGATCTTGACATCAGCTGTAGTTTCAGCTCTGACTGGATACACATTCTGGGCTTCTAGGAAGGGCAAGGACTTCAGCTATCTGGGTCCAATACTGTTTACTAGCCTCTTTGTACTTATCCTGACTGGATTCATGCAGGTTGGTTTAACCTTTCCTTCTGCTCCTTAGCCTGGAAACCAATATGAGAAAATAGTAGTACTTTTTATATGACCTATTTGCAGCTGTGACTTATGATAGTTTGCCCATGTGCAGATGTTCTTCCCTCTAGGATCCGCAACTAATGCTCTTATCGGTGCAGTCAGTGCTATAATTTTCTGTGGATACATTGTATATGACACAGACAACCTGATTAAGAGGTTCACATATGATGAGTACATCTGGGCATCCGTCACTCTGTACCTGGATATTCTGAACCTGTTCTTAACCATTCTGCGGATTCTGAGGCAGGGAGACAACTAGGTGCAGGGAGTGTCACCTGATGCGCATTTGTTTTTAACAATTTTAAGAATTTTGCTTTGCTTTGCTTTGTTTAAGAATTATGCAGATAGATCGTGCGTCTCTCTACTCGTATATTACTTGTAAGTAGTGTTAAAGTTTCCAATGTTTTGATGGTGTCAAGTACAATTTCCCGAAGTTCAAAATAAAGTATCACTGATGTTGCACAATTTCTGATCGGCCTTGCAGAGCTCAAACATATCAGTATATTTTTGAACCGAGTATGCGGAAGGTTTCTGCGCCTACTATAAGTAGATATGGAGGTGCTGAATGCCCAAATTTTCAGCTTGTAGGATGTAGTTATCCTTATAAATCCTCCTCGCATTGTACTCCCTTTAAACGTGTGAGCGTAGCAGTGTCAGGTTACTTGAGGATCCGTGTCTCTTACACAATTACTGATCAGCTCTTACGTTGATGCTCAGGTAATCTAGTTAATGCTTCATCTTTAGGGGGTTGCGGGTAACCATACTGGCTGGGAATAAAACCAAGAAAATAGCACAATGCTTTTTAGAGGTAGATACCCCTTGTCAGTTGTCATGAACATTTAATGATATTTCTTACCCCCAAAATGTGCGACGTTATATGAAACAACTTGTATGTGGCTAGATTGCAACAACTTGTATGTGGCCATATGCAGGAACTCGCTAGCAATTCAGCCTAAAAGGGAATATGATAAAACATCACAAGCAAAATAAATAGAATTGCCATTGCATCTAGAGCACGGTACTTCCAAATCAACTATGGCATCTTATTCAAAAAGGTTATTACTATAACACTAGAGTTCAATTTTCTTTTAAGCCAAAGGGGAAGATAACTACGGTGAGAAGGTCAATGCTAAGTTGCTAACTGATCTGTTCTAGCTTACTGATATAGTTTAGCTTACGATAACTAAGGAACTAAGCCTCTAATCGAGGAAAAGCTCAACCGTGGAGTAATTCCACCAAATTTTTTGCATCACAGAACACCGTAATTACAAGGCATTATTTCACGTAAAAGTAAAAAAGGAAAAGGCAAAGTACAACTCAAGAAAATTGTATATGTAGGGACTTATAGCCTGTTTCGTCAAGCTTCTAAATTTTGCATATTATGAAAAACGTTTTTTTCAAAAGTACTTTTGATAAGATATAGTTTGTGTTTGAATAATTAATTTGAAAAATATTTTTGAGCAACAATTCAATGTTTGGCCAAGCTTTTAAGAAGTGCTTCTAAGTGTATTTTTCTTAAAAGTGTTTGTGGAGAGAAGTTACTTTTTTTCTGTTTCTACTCAAACGCACTTTTTTCCATCAAAAAGCTTGGCCAAACACCTTAATAAAAAATAAAAAAACACTTTTGGCCAAAACAAAAACTTGGCCATTCACATAATTGACCTTAACAGCCACAATAAAGGAATTGCTCTAGGGCCGTAAAACAAGGATCCCGATACTAATGCAAATCCAAGGGAAGGTACAGATCCAAAATAAAATGCTATAACTGCAGGCGTATGCTGTTAGGAGCACTAAGCTGCATCAATGATAGGTAGACTTTGAGATTCAAAAGCGTCAAGAAACTTGCACGTTCGCACCCATCAAAAAAAAAAGAAGGCACTTGCAAGTTCACATCAGATATCACATTCAGTATATGCCATTTCAAGAAAGAAAAAAATAAAAAAGGAAAAGTGTTTTTCCAAAGATTAGAGGTTTCAGATGCAGATCCAAGCACAATATGAATTTTCTGTTAACAGAGAGAATAGACCAAAAGTAGCAGTTGGCAGATACAGTTGCTTAAATTTTAAAAAAATGAAAAATGATATATACATTATTCTTATAAAGCCATAAAAAACCACCTCTGCTATATTCTGCAATGGACACTTGGAAAGTAAACCATAATACTAGCCGAGAGCAAATAACAACTTCACAAGACAAGGAGCATTATCATGATTTAGCAGTTTCATCATCATCCTCAATATCCCATGACAGCTCTTCCTCCTCCTCAGCAGCAGTCAATCGCTTCCTCAAATCAGATTTACTTGGGCTCATTCTCTCGGGCACCTTAATCTCATCACCACTTCCAATATCTTCGATCTCATCCCACCCAAGATCATCTCCCTCGTGCGAAGATAATTGGCTAGAAATAACTGAAAAATCACTGTTATCATTCTTACCTTCTGAACTACCCCGATCACCCCTCGATTCAGCATCATCTACTCTTCCTTCCAAACTTCCTTTCTCATCCCCGTCATCACTTTTCGTCTCTAGACCTTTTTCTTTCTCATCTTCTCCGCTTACGGATCTACTTGCCTCGTCTTCAACCTCTAAACAATCCATTTTCTTCTGAATCTCTTCTTTCAAAACATCTTCACTAGCAACACGGCTGGTCCCCTCCGTATCCTCATTATCTTCATCCTCAACATCCCAACTCAATTCCTCTTCTTCCTCACCGGAGATCGCTCTCTTCACAAGCCTCGCCCGTGCTTCTTCTGCTTTCCTTATTCTATAAACCTTGTAAAAGTATCGGCTCCAGAACATCTCCCGGTCAATCCTATGCAGAACAACCTCACTATAAATCTCATCAATTACACCATTTTCCTTAATCAAATCCTCAATTTCCCCGCTCTTCTCCTCCAATACAAATCCCAATTTCCACTCGTTATAATCACTCGAATCCTCTGGCTCTTCACAATACGTTTTCGCATCACACTGAACCGCTCGAATCGTCGCATCAATTCTACTATAAGGTTTTGCATCCAAGTTCAAATTTTGCTCTAAACTACTAGTTCTCCCTAAACTCCTACTAGTACTATTTTCAGATAATTCGCTATCAGAATCATTAACAAGGATCGAGTCCTTACCGTGAGCAATGATCTCTGTTACAGTGGAGCCGATATTGTCGATCGCTTGACCAACCGATTCGAGCGATTCCTGTGCAACAGCGGCGCCAGATTCAAGCCGAGCCGGCAAGTCCTTAACGGCACGGCTAGCAACTTCACGGATAGTAGCGGTTTCCTTTTTCAAACCGGAGCTGAACTCTTCGAGCTCGCGGCGGTAATTTTGCATCACGGATTCGGATTTCGATGCTATGGTTTTGAACAAGCTCGAACCGAAAGTCCATGCGTCTGATATGGCTGGAATATTAGGGTTAGGGTTTGGGGATTCGGGTTGAGATTGAGAATTTGATGGAGAAGAAGGGGCGTTTTCGGAATCGGAAAGTTCTTCTGGATCATCGGCGAATACAGATTTGAAGAAATCCATGAGAAAAAGGAGAAATTTTTAACACTTAAGTGTGATATGATATTTATATTGCTGTAGCAGAGGCGCGTGTTGGACAAGCGCTATAGGCCTATACTTTCGCCGGAAAATTCGCAACGGCGGCGGAGACGTACAGAAGATATGAAAGGGATTTGTTAAGTAGGCGCAAGGTACAACATGCTTGTCCAACTAACTTAATTGAGTTCCGTAACGAAAACAATAAAGAAATGCTATTTTTGGTAACTAATAAATAAAAAAAGAAAGAAGGAGAAGAGAATGGTCCACCGACAAGTTTTTATTTTTAACTTTTCTTTTTTTATTCTGGTTGGATGAGAGATCTTTCTATTTTTGCCCCGAAATCTCAAAGTTTAGTTTCTTTACCAAATACGTAGACGGCAAAAATTCAAGAAGTTTAACGGAATTAGGGGGTGTCAATGGTCCGGTTCGGCCGGTTATTTTATAAAATTTGTACTGTATTAATTTTTCGGTTATTCTATTATTTATAATCAAAATTAGATTTTTCGAAATCATTCCAATCATATCGGTTTCATTTCGGTATCCATATGATTCGGTTAATTTTCGATATTTTTTTAAATGTCATGTAAAATTCATAAGTAAAAGTAGAATGCAATAACATACATTCTTTTATAAGACTTAGCAAAACTCTCTAGATATTTTTACTGTTTAAAGAGTGATGAATTAAAAAACATGAAAGATGGCTAGAGTATAGATGCACAACTATTCGACAGCAACGTAAAAAAAACCAAGTAAACACAAAGAAAATATAAATCACACGAGTGGAAAGATATTAACCAAACTGGGACTCAAGAATAAAGTCTATATTAAATATTCAAAAAGATAAGTCTAAATTATATGAAAGGAAACATATTCAATACATTGTAGTTTGTTACTCATAATCGCTACAATACTTTATGTCTTGTTAATAAAGATACTTGAAATAACTTAGTTTAAGTATAAGTAGCATAATAGGTTTTAGGAATTAGTATTTTGAGTTTAATTTATTGGCTTGTAGCAGTTTTCATAATTCCAAGGCCTAATGAAAAATTTAATGCTTTATTAGTTTTAAACTTACTATATTAATATATTTTTCACATGTAAAATTTATTCGATACGGTTCGGTATTTTTTCGGTTTATTTTTATAAAATAAAAAATCTACCCTAATTATCGGTACGATTATAGATTTATATAAAAACCTTTGGTTTCTTTAAAAGAAACCTAAAAATCGGTTCGGTGCGGTGCGATACGGTGGGTTTAATCGGTTTTCAAATATTCATTGACACCCCTAAACGGAATGTCCTCTTTTAAATCGCTTTTTTTAATTTTGTACTTTTTTTAAAAAGTTTTCACAAATATAGACCCACACACAACAGAGGTGGCTATAAAGCCTTTGCTTTAAGCCTTCTAGATTTTGGGGCCCCAAAAATATTTTTAGTTATAAATTTTTAATTTTATGTTCGCTTAAACAATGTCTGAAGTTTATAAAGTGTAAAATCGTAAATATAAAAAATATTTACCATATATAGCTAACTCAATAAAGAAAAAACTACAAAAACAAAAGTCCTCAGTCATTAGTCCTTATGCTCAACTTAAGAAAATGTATACTTTTATAGTTGCACCAAATAAATTTCGTAAGTTATTGTTGTGAAGCAAGTATAAAGGCCCACAGGCTAGAAGATATGAATGAGATCGGGTCAATTGAGATTATTGGCAGTGAAATGTTAGAAAATTATATTGGATTAGTTACCTCCTATAACAAATGTTGATACCTTATTTATTTTAAATAAATACTCTTTTAAAAAAATATATTTCATAGCTATCTTTTAATTTTTAATAGCCAAATATCTATTTATGGTCACCTCCTACCCTTAAGCCATAAAATACGCTTTGTATTATTTTTCTCTCTCATTCTTTCGGATTTTTCTCCACTCTCTCTCTCTGAACGCTTTGTATAATAGTGGAAATACAAGGACTACATAGCAAATCCGAAATTCAACGGGTAAAAATCATGAGAGATTTGAGATGAGTNCTCTCTCTCATTCTTTCGGATTTTTCTCCACTCTCTCTCTGAACGCTTTGTATAATAGTGGAAATACAAGGACTACATAGCAAATCCGAAATTCAACGGGTAAAAATCATGAGAGATTTGAGATGAGTTTCTTTTCTTCAAGTGTTTGCCCTAATATTGGTGTGTAGTTTTCAGGTACCAATCTCTTCATATGGTTGTGCTCGGGGAAGGCATGGTGCCTCTTGAAGTTTAGATCTGAACAAAGGAGATGCACTTGCAAGCTGAATATGGTTTCGCTGCTCATTGGAGACTCTTCTTTTGTAAATCAGATGGTAGAATGGGCTCGTTGGGTTGTTACCTGGCAGCGTGAGACAATGAACCGAGACCAATCATGTGTTGGCCACACTTCCTCTCTCTCTCAATGCTTTGTATAATAGCTAACGCGTTCTCTTCTGCTCCATGAAGGAAATTCAATAGCAAGATAGGGTTGTTCTTGAACAAAGACGATGGAGTTTGGGGCTGAGCAACTTGAAGATTCTGTTAATATATTTCAATGTATCTCGCTGCATTTTCATGTATATATTTCATTGTATTCATTGTCTTTTTTTTTTCATTGTATTTCAATGTATCTTATTGTATTCCATGTATTTCATTGTATTCACTATCTCGTTGTATTCCATGAATGTCTTCATATATTTTTTTAATTAATATAGTTTATGTATTCAGATGTATATATGTATTCAAATTGCTCTATTTTTGTTGTATTTTTCGGCTGGGAAAAATATCCAACATATTTTAATTGAGTTTGTTGAGTTAGATTAGGATTCTATTATGTTAATTGATTCACTTTTCGTTTAAAAACAGCTGAATAGACCATGAATTGCACTATTTACGTTATTGTATTCACAAATACATATCGTGAATACAGTCGAATACAATAATCTGTCTAGCTGTAATTTCCTGTTTCACGCCGTGAATATAGTCGAATACAGTTGAATACAAAAATCTTTCTAGCTGCAATCCCCTGTTTCACGCCTAGAAATGCTACTGTATTCATGAATACAATAGCTTAAATGCATCGAATACACTCTAAAACCTGAAAAAATAGCCATAGGAAGTAATATAGTAAATGATAGCTACAACTAGCTAATAACCACTAAAACATAGTGGTTTCTGAAAGTTTCTCAATTATATTTGAGATTCAGGTCCAGTTAGCAAGTGGTTAAAAAGGACTACCGGTTTGGAATGAAGCATTATGCCAATTATGTTGAAACCTCGATCAGTCTCTCTCATCCCATTCTCTCTAGTTTTTCATCCCCTTTCTTCTTAGTTTTAGATTGCAATTTCTCTCCTCATCTACTCTCTATTTTCTTTAGTGTTATTTTCTACTCTTTTATTGCTATTTAGTTATTGTAATTTCGTTTGGTGAGTAATATAGTCACTTGGTTTGCGTGTGATATCCAGTTTGTTACATTGGTGATTTCATCCAGAGGTCTTCAATTCAATGGAGGACCAAAAACTCAAACTCAAGGCTCTCGTTGATGCGTCTGTGAAGGAAGTGACGGATTCCTTTTCAAGGGATATCGCTGAGATTCAGAGTATGTTACAAGATGTGGTGGGGAAAATGGCTCCGACCGCTTATCAGTCTCGCTTCGGGTTGCGTTCGTCCATGGAAGCTCTGTCGGTGAAAAATACCCAGATTCAGCGGTGATGATCCTGCGGCGTGTGTATTTCAGGTAGAGCAATATTTCACACGCTATAATGTTTTTCCAGATCATAAATTGTCATTCGCTTCTTTATATTTGGATGGAGAGGCTTTGGATTGGTATTGTTGGTTATATCGAAACAAACAACTCGCTGATTGGGATCATTTCGTGGAAAAATTGTTTATCCATTATCGAACTCGGAGGCGTGAAGCACCTGACAGTCGTTTAGCCTTTCTCCAGAAGCCTACCACAGTGGACTATTGTCCAACACGAGCTGCAGCTATTCCACCAGGGAGTGCCATGGCCAGAACGCCCTCGCCTCAATTCTGGAATCCACACTCAGACTGCAATAAACTGAACTCTGCCCACAAAGTGTTTGAAAAACAGTTGGATAGGGAAACTAGTGTTGTAGATGATAAAACAACGATACCAACAGCTGATGCTACTAAACCGGAGGTTGAGGACGAAGATGCAGCAGTACAAGTCACAATTGATAAAGGTACTAAAGTTTTGCTAACTCAAGCAAAAGAGAAGATGGACAATTCGGATTTGGATGACAACGATGAGGATTTCCGGCCTCCTATTCTTGCAGTTGGGGAAGAAAATCTCCAAAGAGATGAAGCGGGCCAGCGATGCCAACCTAAATTTATCAAATCAACTCAAAATACGGTGATTGCTTCTTTCTCCATAAGCAAGCAACTGCAGCTCACAGATGCAAGCGCTAATGTTTTGGTAAACAAGGTGCATAAGCTGTTTAATATTTGTTCTAAAAAAACAGGGCAATCATTGATTGACAATGAAATGGTCGACGAACGAAGTGACACCTTGATTTTGGATGGAACCCAATTGATGCACAAACATATATTCATACACTTCCCATTTGATCCTGGTGAGTCTGTTCCTCTATCCATTAAGTTCGAGTACTTGAATATGCATTTAGATACATTGCACTGGCTGCCTATTGCACTGTATTCTGGTGTGTTTGGCCTTGATGGTACTATGGAAGGAGGAAAGCTAATTAATGAAATGTCCAGAAGAAAAATGGATGTACAGACTATTCAACCTCGACCGACACGTCCACTTCCAAAATCACCTTTCTCAGCCTTACTATTGGAGTTCCTATCACATGTTGTGCATTCTGTTGAAATAGCGAAGAAACTCAACTTAGATGGGCTTGTCGTAATTGGTGGGTATGGTTCCAAAATAACTGCTCGTCTTCTTGTTGCAAACTTCTATAGTAAAATGCAGCCTGCAATAACTGCACTTGATGCCATGTTACAGGAATGGAAAGTATTAGACTTGAGGAGTGGATATAAGGTGAAGCTTCAAACTGTGCACCTTGTTGGTTACACATTTTATGGTGTCATTGAAATGGTAGAGTTGGCTGCACACCATAGATTACGTCATGGCTTAAGTGATGCATTAGTTTATGTTATCCTCTTGAACAAGTGTGTGATTGTAGGGCATGTTATGACTGAACTCA